TTATGACAATTCTATTAACATTGTTGGTAGGAGCTCACTAATGTCAGTCTTCATTCTTTTGCAAAACCCCAAGATGGCTCCCCCCTCCTACACCTCCCTTAGTTTTACTTGGGATTATTATAAGTCAAAAGAAATGAAATGTGGGGTAAATCAATATGTTTATTTTAATGATAGCCTAAGAAAAACAGAGAATCTATATAGTTCCCTTAGCTTTTCAATTCCTGACTTTTCCCTTAGGTGGTATAGATATATCAGAATAATAAGTAGCTCCTTTTTCTTTGTAAGTAATTTTTCTTAGCTGACTCTGACTCTAGGCAAACTATTGGGAAAGATTTATTATCCTGAGGGTGGGGTTAGAGGGACTGGCTTAATGTTTTAGAAGTGATTGTTTCTAGTATCCTTTGGGCAACTTTATGACATTATCTGGCAATTATTTTTGTATAGGCAGAGCAGTCTCTCCTGTTACATCCAGGTTTTGTAGTGTATAATGGAATGGCTTTTAGAATTCTTTATTCTATTTTCCCATTATAGGGACAGAGTGTTTTTTGGCCCAAATGCGGGCACAGAAAGGTGAACTCCTGGAGAGATTATCAAGTGCTAGAAACTTTGCAAATATGGATGATGAAGAAAATTATTCTGCAGCAAGTAAAGCGATCCGGCAGGTGGGAGGCTGTTGATAGTGCTGGAACTTCTACTCTATCCTTAGATGCCCTTTTTTTTTTTCTTTTAAAGCAGCAAAGAATATGTAACCAGTAGCTCAGTTGGTTTCCCCACCTCCACTCCCTTTGGGAAATCTGGATACCTTTTACAGTCATATTTAAGAACTTTTCCTTTCCCTGTCCCACCAAGGCAACAGGAAGCTATCTTTCCATTGACCCAATAATGTGACTAGTTATCTATTAAGTCTGTTGTAGCAAGTAGTTGATTCATGAACTTGGATTTGGGAAATTTGAAATTGGCTTTTATCTTAATGCCTTTCTCTCTTAAGTGATTTATCTTTTTAGTGCAGTTTCCCCATCCTCAGGATGAGTATTTCATCTATCAGGGATATCACTAAGGTTAAATATTCAAGAAGCACATATTCTTGATTACTTGACCTCACTTTTGTATAATGCCTCTTTCCCCATACACACACAAATGATAAATGTAAATCTGGAAAATGTGAGTTGTTGCAGCAATCTTTCTTTCATGTAAATAGCTCTATTCTTCTTACAGGTACTGCACCAACTGAAGAGACTTGGAATTGTGTGGCAGGATGTCCTGCCAGTGAATATTTATTGCAAGGCTATGGGGACTTTGCTCAATACAGCAATTTTTGAGATCATTGGCAGAATCACTGCCCTAGAGGTAAGGGCCTTGAGATGCTACACGAGACATGAGATGCAATTCTTGTCCCAGATTGTGACTTTACTAAGAAAATGTTGAAGTCTCATTTCTAGTCAACACAGATGGTAGAAGAAATTGTTCATGTTTCATGTCTAACTCACGCTGTTATATTTTTTTAGTTTTGTCTTAATTCTGTTTTGCTGGAAACTTAATTAATCTCTTTTATATCTACAAGAAAGTAGTATTGCACTGCTTCTCAACCTAGCGTCTGTAAATTATGAATGAGGAAGTTAGAAACTGGGCAGTGGTCCTGAGGCATGTAGTGAGAAGTCATTTAATTTGCAAGTGAACTCAATAATTTAGTAAAGCGAATGCAATGTTGTGCTGGTACCATTTTTCCAACATATTGTTGCAGTTGAGATTATACGTCTGATCCTAAAGGAAAATTGTCTGGACTTGGCCAGCTGATGCCTCTAAAGCATAGATTGTCTAAACCCTTATTTGTAATAACATCCCCTGCTTT